ATAAGTCATGTCTCTCGATCATTTCAATGCCACCCCCTCTCTCCCGGCCTCTGCCTTCCATTTTAATCACTGACAGCCCTTCAAGTATTATAGATATATATAATCTTTTTAATATCACTGACATTTTCCATGATGGAAAGCATCTCAGGGGTGCTGAGACATTCCGCAGGGAGATTGTGCCTTCCTGCCGATGCTCCTGCCACGCAAAGCGCAGAGCTTGGATCCATCCTGCCCGAAGGTGCTGCTTTGGGTCGCAGGGGGAGGCCACTGCCTCCAGGGGCTTTGCAGATCTCAGCAGTCTGATGTTCCCAACAGCCTCTTGGCTGCGCAGCCTGAATGAGCATCTAGTCCCACTCCCAGCCGCAGCCTGGGAAAAGAGCACATCCAGCAACCAAACCATCTCCAGGTCAGCCTGGAGAACATCCCAGCTCGGGCAGCAGCAGGCACTCTTCACAGCAGCCCAAGACCCAGGCTTTTCTCTTCCCAGTGTTCCTGCTTCACCGTGTCAGATGGTGAGGCAGACAGCTTGCCCTTCTTCAGGCACTGATCTTTTACAAGCAAAGTGAACCTCTCCGTGGGGAAAACACCCTACAAGGTGTTTCTGGAGCTGTACAATATGGGGTTTGTTTGCTGAGTGGTCCACAACTTGCTGTGGGAAGTAGGATCCAGCAAGGTGCTGACTGCCCTCAGCACAGGCTAGCTGCTCACCAAGACTCCCTCTGCCTTTGAGACACCTCTGGAAATGCACTGTCACCTTCTGCTTGCGGCATTTTCCTGAAATTCTCCCTCTTCTCAGGCTCCCTGATGGTCATGGTGTCTTCAGGCCTCTACTCACGTGATGAGTTTGGTATGCAACTCCCAAGGCCAGGAAGGTCGCTCACCTCAGTTATGTAGCAAACACAACACAAATTATTAACACTAATACAAATAATACTCGGGTTTGGGAGAGGAGAAGGAATATTCTCCTTGCTTGGCTGCAAAGACTTGGAGTTACAGGGCCTGGAGCAGCCACACATCCCTCAGAGCACTGGGCTGACAGCCCCCAGGGTCCCTGTGCTAATGATGTCCCTGCCCACATCTCACACCACGGCTGTAAATGATGGGACATGTTTGTAAAGCTGTTCTGTGAAAGCCAGCTCTAATTCCACTGCAGTTCCCTGTAACTTCCACAAATCAATGCAAAAGGAAAAAAAAAAAAAAGGCAGCTGGCTTGGAGAAAGCTGCAGCAGCCAGACAGCAGAGTATCACAGTTGTTGGCCCAGCACATCCTTTCCTCCGTGCTGCTTCTACCTCGTCCCCTGAGGACACTCTTGTCCAAGACTGTAAAAGGCACTGGCAATATATATGACAAAAAAATATAGTGAAAAATTAGACTATTCACAGGTTTGTTCTCCCTTGCAGAACTCCTATGCCACCCACCTGCCCTGAGCCACCAGGCTCCTCCCATGGAAGGGAAGGAAATGCCAGCACAGGACATTCTTCCATCGTACGTGACTGATGTGTAACCCCCATCTACCTGATTTTGAATTAACAGATTTTCCTGCAAGTAGAGGAATACGTGGAGACTGATTTCTATAGGCTGAAGACATAGATCTTGAGAGGGGCTTTGCCATCCTTTAAGGCAAAGCCTCCAAATGAAAGGATTCCTGCCTCCAAGACAATCACGTTGCCTCTAGAACGTGCAGACTCCCTCGTCTAGAAACAGATGGCTTGAGCAGTTTGAGTTGGGCAGATTCACAGGCTGATAATCATCTCCAGGGAGGCAGGAGCTATTGTCAGAGCCTGTGAGACACACCCCAACTTCAGGCCTTTTTCCTCCTAATTCTCAAAATGTTGCTGAAATATTCAGTCCAGGATTGCTGAGCAGAGACATTCCCTTTGTGGGTCTGTGCCCACTAAGCCAGAGAAGGCTCCTGCTGCCACAGAAGCCGAAGTGCTTCCCCACACCCCACTAAGAGAAAAGATCTCCAAACATGAGAGGCCTCATCTGGCCAGGAATAAAAAAAATAAGCTGTGCTTTGCCATGGTACTGCCAGGAGCCAGGTGCAAGAATATATCCTCTTCCCAGAGACAGCACAGGAGTTAAAATGAGAAAGAAAAAGACACCAGTTCTGCAGGAGGAACAGTTATTTCACACTAGGTGCAGCTCCAAGATGCGTGTCAGCCTGGCTGCCAAGGGACAGAGCACGTGCCCGAGGCACACACGCCTGGTGCCACCGCCCAGAACTCCTAACAGTGATGCTCAGCACGGATATGCATCTGCTGCCTAAGAACCCCAATGGCATCACAAACCTCAGCTAATGATCTACACTGATGTCATTGCTCTACAGGGCCAAAGCCTTTCCGGGGAATGCTGTCCAGCTGCTTTAGCAGGAAGGTGGCACTTTACTGACATCAGTCAGGTCTCTCCATGCCAGGTCAAGACAGACCCTGCACACAGCTCACTCTGCCTTGGGAACCTGCTCTGACATGAGCCCAGCGTGCCACACTCAGGCCTGGGATGCCTCCACAAACAGCTCCATTCCAGCTGGGATGCACAAGGAAACCCAGGTGGAAAGCAGGGATGAGCCCAGACACACAGGCAGACTGGAGTAGTGGCTCTAACACGAGGTCTTACCATGCTCACAACATTTATAGCACAAATTTCATTCATTTTATTCAAGAGTGATTAGTCTTAGAAGGAGCTGGCTCAGAATGCAGCATGGGTACCTTGAGCAAGATGGAAAGAGATGGCAAGATCAGCACAAGAAGGAAATTCATAGGTGCTAAACCAGGCAGGTGGCACACTCCTTGGGATAGTTCTTTTACTGGGATCCAGAATGCCTTGGGGAAGCCTGTTGTCAGTGAGTCCTGAGAGAAGACTGGACAAGCAGCCAAGAACATGATCAAAAATGAGGTGGATTTGTCTAAGTCACTGTTCCAGTACCAGCACTCATGAGGACAAGGGACACCCTGCTCACTCACCTGCTAAGCATGACTGAGAAACAAAGAATAAGACATATCTTATGCTGACTGACACTTTTGAATTCTTCTTCCCTATCAGAAATGCCAGTATTTTCCAGTCTTAACGTTTTCTGAGGTGGTGATATGTCTTCCTTGTCTCTTCTTGGCAAGTTATCATCTGTAGCAGTAACAGATGATCTAGCAATAGTCTCACATCACAGTATGTCAGAAAAGAGGCAGCCCAGTATCTGTAATCACTGAATCACTTCAGAAAGAAGAATCTACACTCATAATCTGTGTAAACATGGTTATTTATTTTTTTCAAAGCGAGTCTATTTTTACATACAAAGGGCTTCGCTCTCCCACTTCTGAGCACCTTGTGGAGTTAGATCCTCAAATAAAGACACCATTTCACTCAGCATTGAATCCAGCAGCCTATAAACCTGCAGCAGAAATTAACAGAAGACAGTTGCAGTGAAAACATATGAAGAAATCCTGAGGATGAGACTGCCAGAGATGGTTTCTCACGCTGGAGCACGTTATCATATGGCACACACACACAACCACACAGAAGTGGCAGCCTGATAACAGAGCTCTAGTAATAGCTATGAAGTGTGTTTAACATTATCTGAGGTACAATTAATTCAGCTGATCCCTCCAGAGTCTGCAAGCATGCTAAAGACATCCCAGATACAAGTCCCACATGTGGCTATGTGATGGCTGAGTTTCTGTTAACGGATTCCAGGCTGGAATACAGGACATCTTACTTTGCATCTCACTCTTACCTTGCATGAGGGACATATGCCTGTCAGTTTCTGAGTTCAACAAAATGCTTCCCTCTCCCCCTGAGCCTCAAGGTAACTTACAAGCAAAGAACAAAATTAGGAAACAAGCATACAAGATTTGGTCAAACTTACTTCAATATAGAGTTTCTCCTGGTATGTTCTCAACAAATTAGGGTCCACCGGCTTCTGAGGAGCTTCTGTAGTTACAGAAGCTCCATCTGTAGTTACAGCTTCCACAGCCTGTGCTCCCTCTTTCACCTCCTCCAATGAACTAGATGATTTCCACGTTTTCTTATCTTTTCCCCTCAGCTTCCTGGGGCTTGGAGATTCCTATTCAAGGACAGACCAAGAAAAAAGGGACACAGGTCAGAACATTGCTCAGACTGTTGCAAGATGCACCTCCCAGGAGCAGCACCTCTTTCACTGGGATGGAAACCAGCTCAGCTCAGGATACACAACCTCAGAACGGACCACACTGTCCCCAGCACTCAGAGTCCACCAGGCATCCCAACACATACCTCTTTCTCTTTCCTTACTCTTGCTCTACTTTTTTTGCCTTCTTTATCCTTATCACCAAAATACTTTCTCTCTTCATTCTCAGTGGCTATTTTGTCTTTCTTTCCTGCTTTTATATGCTGCTTTTCTTCCTCTATAAAAGAAAGAATTTCCATGACCCACAAGCATCCACACATCCAGAAAGACCAGCCCACTGCACTCCCACAGTGGGAGTATATTATTTTTGCAATGTATTTTCCTCTTTTTATTAATCTGAGCTGTGCGGCACTGAAAACCAATACCTTGCAGAGTGCTTTGTTTAAATAAGGAATGAAGAGGTCTCAGATTTGTATCAGAATAAGCCTGTAAGACAGCTAATAGTGAGGCAGGGTTTGCTGGGTCAGTCTATGTGAAAACCATTGGTTACACCTTGCTGAATTAAAAGGCTTTTTTTGTGGGGTGTTTTGTTTAATAATGCCAAACCACAGATCACAATTCCTATGGTGACTGTCACACAATCTGCCATTTTTTTCCTGATGCATTTTCTTATAAAAGCTTTGAGGGGGGAAAACTGCTGAAATTGTCATTTCAGTTGAAATTCAGCATGTTTTCTAGATTTCCAAGAGACCACAGAAAATGGTTGCTGTGCTAAAACTGCCATTTACCTGTTTCCTTTGGAACAGCATCTACACAGGTGTCTTTCTCAAGCAAATTATACAGGGATCTCAGCCTCAGAGCGTGATTCACCATATCATCGATTGCTCCACGCCACAGCTGGAGGCTGAGAAAAGGATCAGAGTCAGGAGGGAGACAGTGCAGCAACTGCCACCTTGGTTTACCCTGTGCCCAGAAGTGAAGGCACTTCACAGCTGAGAGCTGCCCTGTCCAAGGAAACCAATAGAACAGCACCCACTGCCTAAAAATCCGGTTAGAGAGATGCTAAACTGCCTTCCTCATGTTATATCCCTCCAGGGTCTCAGTGGTTTGAAAACCAATAGGCTCACAGGGACCCATAAATACTACTGTGAAACTAGGTCTGCTCTTCAACATGACACACAGTAAATCAGCATCAACCTGCTCTGTGTTTACCAAGAGGAACCTGCACCCTTCTAATTTAGAAGCAACTAGAAGCTGTTGATATGTTTACAGTCTGAAAGCCTGAGCAAAGAACAGAGAGACTGTATGAGGGAGGAGACAGTTATCCAAGTAAAAGGGTACAGAAAATTACCCAAAGGTTTCATAAATACAGACTAGAATAATCTTGCCAGAAATAATCTTGTACACTCTCCAAAATTACATGCATTTAATATTCTAAACTTATCTCCAGAAAAAAAAAAAAAAAAAGGCATTTGGGTCCTAGACAGCTGCTACAATTAAGCTATAAAAAACCCAGAGTGTAAAGATGACTTCTAGACCTCATATAATTATCTTCACTCTGAATCACACTTGCAACAGAGCTTGCTGGGGCTGTTGATCACACTGCGCATTCACAAGCTTTTCCTTGCAAAGGTAACGCACCAGAGTGGATACAGAAGGTCTGACTGAGTTGGCCTCTGTTCAACACACAGCTCCAGAGCTGCCTTATTGAGCTGGGTCAGTGCTTCTTCCCTCTGCTCCTCCCTGGGGATTGACATGATAGCCTGTGAGAGAAAACACACAGTTTGTGGAGCTCTTCTCAGTCTTTGTTCCCAGTCTGCAGGCCCTGAGCTCAATGGAGCACACCACAGTGTGGACACCACTCTGAAACCAGACTGCACTGGGCACTTACACATCCAGATGGGACTTCCTATACATCTGGGATTTGGCCAAGGTGCACACACAATCCAAGATCGGGGGAGCAATCCCAAATTTCCCTGTTAGACTGACATTAGGCCCCTTTGCAGCTTCACAGGTGTGCTGGGGATCAGGGATTCTAGAGAGCTAGAAGGCTCCCAAGTAAAGCTTAGTTATAAAAGCAGCAGAGAGATTTCCAAGACAGCACTACAGAAAAACTCCTGACAGACTCCAAACCACTCTTGCTTTAATCTAGGGAGGTCTGTACTTCATCCAGAGTCTGTCATGAGTGCCCCCTTAGTGCTCTGATGAATAGGAAGGACTCTCCAAGGAGAGGAGTCCTTGGGGGAGCCATGGGAGGCTCTAAGACTGCCCTGCCCTCTGCATTCAGTCCTGGGATGACAGAAAGCTAATGGGGGAAGAGCTTAAAATATCTATTACATTTTCTGGTTCTCTTTTCTTCTTTGCACAACAGCCCACAAAGTCTCTCTTGGGAATCTCTTTTCAAGAGCACTGAGGGTGTGGTCGGCAGAGCCAACACACATTGTAAATCATCTCTAACTCTGGCACATTGGCAGCAGATCTTTGGGTGGGCTCACATTGGGGCAGGGCA